TCGCTGTCCGGCTCACTTGATATATATATATATATGTACCATGGCTAGGTTTTCGATGCAACAGCAAACACAAATATATATATATATCCTGCTCTAGTGCTCTAGTACGTATATTTGAAGTGTTTGTCAGGTGTGTCGCACTAACAACAACTTTGACTTTCTGGCGGCTTATCTTGCAAGCTTTGCCGGGGCTCTTCCCACTATGAAGGAGTGCAAGGCACTCACAAGCATCAACCGAAAACAGTATTGGATTTGAACACCACAGCCCAAAAGCTACTCCCCAAATCTGTCCATATGGCTATGCAAGCACTTGCAGGCAGCCCTCCTCAAGGTTGCTGACGACTTTCGCTTGAACAAGTTTGAAAGCAAGAAAAAGTTGGAGGACATGATCACCTGGGTTCAAATATATGATCGACCGTTATATGCAGTTGAAAATTGTTTGTGTGATGGCTTCTCCACATACTCATCAGGACTGGGCAGACACTGAAGCAGGAAGACAACGTGGATTTGCATCATACGTGTGCTTTCGTGCATCCAGGAATACTGGGGCGAGGACAGCGCAACATCACAGGGATCCGTATGGTGTTCATCGTTGTGTGGGTCGTATGTTTGCCACTTTCATTATTGTAGGACTTGCAATAGGAGTCCTCCCATACCATTTAGGTTTCAAGTGTCGACCTACACTCTTGAACAGGAGGGGCCATGAAAGCTTTGGCAAGCTGAAGGAAATTGCCCTGGAGGCCAAGAAGGCCAGTTGATCAAGTGACCGGTTTCCAATTTAATTAGCTCCTATTTTTCAACATTGCCAGGAGCGGGATGCAGAAGCTGTTGGTGAATGCTGTGAAGAGGTCCTGCCCCTGGATCACTGTCATGATTGATATGGCACCCGGATCCTCACAGTAGTCCCCCACACTTAGCCCCCTGACGCTCTGACAGATCGATTCTGCCCAGAGATACCACGCCACGATCACCTGAGGCTGCTCAAGAAGATCATGCTCGAGGAGAAGGTGGGGAGGAAGAGCAGCGGACTGATGATGATTGCGTGGAAGTTGATGATGACAAAGGACATGCTTCGGGTGAACAAACTGAAGAAAACGATGAGGAAGATGAAACTTCACTGCCAAAGGGTGAGGACATGAGTGAACCCGAAGATGCTGGTATGATTGAAGACGAGGATCGAAAAAAAGGAACTTTCAAGGACCGTGTACTATTATATATTTTTATAGCTAGTATGCATATTTGTCCACTGCGATATGTTTTCTCTTGATCAAATCCGTTAGAATTTGGAAGCTTTCTGATTTCGTCCGGCAGGATCGTGCCCCACTGGTGCCTCAGCCGTCTCCACTAGCTGCAGCGGCCCTAGAGACTTTTGAGGTTCTGGCGATGGAAGCTGAATCCAATGATACCGATATCCTGCAGGCAGATCTGGGTCAGTACACGCGCACGCTAGAACAAGAGTAGTTTGCTTATTCGGACAGCACGCGCATGCCAATCGAGTTTTACATGCAGGCAATTTGTATATAGTATATATGCAAGCTTTTTGGGGGCAGGCCCAAAAAGCACTTCGAAGAGCAAGTGATGAGCGAGGGGAAGACAGTTCCCAGGTTTCGGAAGATGCCCCAAAGAAGCGACCGGCTGCCAGGGGCCGTGGTGGTCGGGGCCGCGGTAGTGGCAGGGGTCGTGGTAGAGGAAGGGCCAAGGCAAAACCCAAGCCTGTGCCTCAGCTGTCTAGCAAACCCAAAGAGACCAATAAAGTGAAAGGTAAAAAGCTTGAAGAGGAAAAGACTCCAGACGAACCACCAAAAAAGAAAAGCAAAGCAGCGGCAGAGGATTGGACATGCAAATCACTGCACTAGGTTTTTGCAATGATGAAATTAAACATTTATGTACGACATGTATGTGTGTGTCTACACCAGCTGTACGCAGGAGCTCGACTCTGAAAAAACGCCTCGCCAGAAAAAATGGAAGAAGACTTTGAGGAATTGAACACCATCGCATCGAACGATGACCTTTTTGAATGCCCGGAAGAAATGAACAAGTCAGGAACTTAATAATGCTGTATTTGTTTTGATCGACCCTGGGTGTAGACAACACACATATAAAAGCTTTAAACCCGCTAGTCAACTCTTTTCCCCCAATATCTCCCAATTCTCTCGTTGCAAGGTCGTGGACTTTGCGCGGTCCTGATGGTGTGAAGTCGACGATCGGAGTGCAGCCTCATGCTCAGCCGTGAAACTGTAAGGAGTCAATCCTAGTGTGCAAGTATGAGGCTGTATCAACGTAGCTTCTACCTCAAGAAGATCGAGTCCAAGAATCTCAAGACTTACAACAAAACCAACAAGTCTGATATCCAGGCTTGTTCATTCCATAATCAAATCCATACCAAAATGTTTGGAATTCTAAAAGATGCATGTGCATGCGCTTTCTAGCATGTTGCTGGTCAGATGAATGGGCAAGATGGGCTTACTTTGGGATGGCATCGTTTCGACTCCCTGGCGGATGCGCCTATCACTCAGTCTTCGAATTCAACCAGGGCCATATTGATATTTAATTTCAAGTCTTTCAGACCCTTCTAAGCTGCTGCTAGATCAGCTCTATCCGTTCTATCTATATAGTTTCTCTGGTGCATTGCAATGTCTAGCTTCCTTCTCTCGTGAGGTGGACCGCATGCAAGATCATTGCAGGTTGGGCCATCGACGTTGACTAGCTCCTGGAGGATCAAATGGCTCATCTGTACCTGTCACAGCAGCGCCGAGTTCGACCGAGCTGCAAAATGACAGTGCAAACCACCAAGTGGAGTGTGCTTCAGATTTTCTATATATAGTTATATATTAGTTTTCATCGATCCGTATCTTTGAAACACCATGCATCACCATGGTACAGCTTCTGGAATAGAGTGGCATGTTCATGCTCGATGGTGGGATGCATGATTGTGTGATGTGTGCGTAAGATCTGTAAGGATCAAAGTCTTTTGGCAAGCACTACTTTTGAAGTAGCTAGCAAGGGGCCAGCATGCCAAACCCGGCCTGGAAAAGGGGGCCATTGGCCCTTACCCAGTCCCAATGTCGTGCTTTGCTGGCATGTGGAATGCCTTTGATGATGTCTGCCCCCAAGAGTTTTAGCGACAATTACAATGGGCAGCAGGCTTATTTCTACAAACCTGATCCAAACAGAAACGTGCTTGCTGGCCTGGTGTGATGTAGCTGCATCTGCAACCAGCACGCGCCCAGGCTCCACCTATGCGACTATGTGGCACAAATCAGTGAGTGCACTCGGGTGCATATCCCAGTGTGCTCGATGCAAAACCAGACCTGTCTAAAGATCAAGTCTTCGTAAGAAAAACTGCGGGCTGGTTTTACTTGAGGACCTGGACAACTATGATGTCTTCGCCGGCCAGCGCTCCATATCCAGAGGGTTCAGCCTCAGCCTCGACTTTCACAACACTGCTGTTTTTTTTTGTACTCTTCATTTCAAATCTTGAAGTGAACAAAATTGGTCCTCGATGGTTGGGGCTATTAGTCCTCAGGCTTTGAAGGAGCAAGAACGTCTGGAACCCAAAAGAAAAACAATATATATATATATTATATTCAACAGGGTCGACAATTAAACAAGTTGCTGGCATATAGGGTTCAGCCCAGCTAAGGGAATTCCTGGAAGTGACTGAACGGCCGCATACAGACAACCTGCTCACTATGTGTGGGCCCCAAGGTTTGCTGGATGTGCAGAATAATATCAGTTGTTGAGCTTGCAATTGCTTAATCATTGAACCAGTTCACTAATAAATATCCAGCTGGGTTTTTGTTTGCATTATGTGTTGCTTCAGGACAGGCTTCGTTAAGGCGGTGGAGAACACACTGCGTTTGAAGGAGAACGCACTGTTCTTCGCAGGACTCCCGTGCTGTTCATTTGTTTTCATCAACCTGGCGACATCCAAGCGTTCACGATATCGACCATTCGGAGATTGCAGTCTTGGATACGTACAGGATTCCAATGTGTTTCTTGCATGCATGGCCAGCTTCGTCACTTCAGTTTAATGTTGTCAAATGGGATTGATTGGGATTGATTGCAGAGCTATATAGATATATATTATACGATTCGCATGGGTGTGTTAATCGATGAGGTTGGCAGCACGGTGCCTGCTACTGTGCCTTCTGTGCACATGTCGTGGAGGGCACTGGGCCATAGAACAACCAGGGAGCAGTACATTTGTCCACTACCCCTACCTGAAGTTTTTGCAAAGGGTCATGAAGAACTTTGTGAATGTGCAGATCCATCGATTGTTCTTCCCTGAGCTCGATCTTGCACGATCTTGATTGTTTAGACGATCTATCCAACCCCTATCCCACCCCCAAGCGAGCTGCCGGCTAAGTTGGATGGCCTGGTTCGGCTCCAAGACACCAAAGGCGAGCATTCTCATAGGCACACCGCTACAGCCTCAAACAGAGTCAGCGAGTCTGCAATCGTTCACGTGCACTGAAGTGGTTCGTTGGTGTTTGGTTAAGGTCTTGGGCAAAAAAGCTGTACCGAAAGCTGACCAAAGCCGACAAGGTAAAGCTTAAGCTGGACTCCACTGGTGTTGTCAAGAAAGGGGTGAACAAGTCTGGCAAGAAACAAGTGCTTGGTGCCTAGATATCCTGATTAAATCTGAATCCCATACCAATTGAATTCGACAATCGATATTGCGAGGTCAGGTGGCCCATTGCTCCGGGCCACTCAAGTTTATCCAGACAAGTTTGGGAAAAGAGTTGCCAAATTCCATCTGAAACAAATGGCCAGAACCCTAGTATAATTTGCTCCTCAAGCCTGCACATGCATATTCCTTACACCAGGAATCACCAGTATACCATGTATACACGCTGGGCTTTGTCCCAGGCTCACAGCAGTCGCTTTGACCACCTTGCTGCTGTGAAGGGGCTAGCTTCGGAAAAGGCACACTACAGATCCTATCGATCAAACTCCTCACAGTCCTGATTATGTGCATGCTGTGAAATCCGGGGTCCATGCACATAGATTTGCGGCGTCCAGCTGAGCAGGTGAAGAAGAGGACCGCTCCTTACAAGTGGAGGCACGCTGGGCTCGAGGACCTTTCAACATTTTTGTTGGCAGAGATCCAACATGGCAGATTCAAGCCAACCTTTCCCTTTGAGTTTGGCGCTTTCAACTATAGTGCCTAGTGGCCACCTTGTGGCTGCCAATTCGAACGCCTCAGGTGTGAAGGGATCCTATTCCTAGAGCTCATGGCATGACTTAGTTATTCAATAGAGTCCATCGAATCATATGAATCGAATCCATGGCCATGCCATATATATATATATATATGCATCGTGAGCTCATGGCTATGCCACCTCCGATCCCATACACGCTATTAATTCGTGAACGTAATTGAATTTCCCGACAAAACCTGAAGAGCGTGAAAAGACCGTGAAGAACCCGTGAACTGTGCGTGAAAAACCGTGAACCGACCGTGAAAAACTGGTCCTTCTGAAACTCACGATTCTTACTCATTTTGTGTTTCAGTCTGCAGCCTTCTGCTCGTGCCTTGAGTATAGATCATGGCAAACGACATTCTAGAGAAGATAAAAAAGGAGGCTAAGGAAAGGGCACTGAGAGTGCAAAATGCCAAGCCGATGTCTCAGTTCTTTTTTGGAAACACTTGTACATATAGATCTGGAAACCCCTCCCCTCCTAGGTCTGGTGACGCTGGTGGCCATCAAGCTGGCTAGGGTCCCAAACGTGAATAGCATCTCCGGTGAATTTCTGCCTGATCGCAATCGAGGCCAGAAGGCGGCGCCGGTTCCAACCCCCTGCCGTGTGCGGAGAAAGCTTTCGTTCATGAGCGGATCTGCGTCAAAGTCAACTTTGAAGCTGGGGGAATCACATGAATCACTTAGTACTGTTGAGAGAGCGGCTGTGTTCAACCGTGCCACCACCGCTGAAAAGATTACCCCCAAGCCGAAACCTCCACCTGAGACACCAAAGTCAACGCCCACGCCAGTTCAGAAGACCATCCAAAAGACCAAGACACCCAGCCCAAAGGCCCAGCAGTCTAGCAATCAGAAACGCTCAAAAGACTCCCCTCCCACAACACCAAGTGCAATGCCATCACGGCCATCAGAACGAACACAGAAGTATTTAGCAGAGCGCAAGAGGCTGAGGAGGATGAATACTGAGGAATGCAAGCCCAAGCAAGAGGCACCTGAAGCAACACCCAGCGCGGCAAAGGAGAATGGCAAGGGAACAGCAAAAAAGCCAAGCAGCAAAGCATCCACAGGTAGTCGCACGGCTCCAAAGGAAAACAAGAAAGTCAACAAGACAAGCAACACAACAAACAAGGGTGATGCAAAGGGTAGTAAGAGGAGTGTGGAGGATGCAAAGGACACCAACAAGAAGAGCAAGGAGGATGCAAAGGACACCAACAAGAAGAGCAAAGAGGATGCAAAGGACACCAACAAGAAGAGCAAGGAGGATGCAAAGGTTGACACCAACAAGAAGAGCAAGCAGGATGCAAAGGCAAAGGACAAGAAGGAGAGCAAGGAGGGTTCAACCAGTGCAAAGAACCAAGGCAAAAAGAAAACAAAAGGTACCAAGGAGGTCAAGCGCCGGAAGCATGCAAAGGGGAAGAACACCGGAGCTAGTAGTAGCAAGGTCAAGAAGGAAAAGAAGGACAGCAAGGCAGCAACCGCAGATGTAGATGAGGAATCCGCAGACAGTAAGGACACAGGTTCTCCAAAGAAGGCAAAGAAGTCAAAGGCAGCCAAGAAGGCACACGCAATGTACATGAAGTATTGGCGAAGCATCAGAAGTAGCTAGGTTGCATTTCAGACTCGCAATAGAGCGCATTTGCACTGCATGATCTTTGTCACGCACGCGCGCGGCTTATATATATAAATTATATCATAAAGAAATAGTATACATAAGGTCATGGCACTCCCTCGGAGATCAAGAGTTTGGCCAAGCGCTTCAAGTACTGCTGCATCCCCAGAAATTTGGATCAGCCACAGCCAAGTCTTTTATAGTTTATGTGTGAGGCAAGACGCAACAGTCGGTTCTCTATGAGGACTTTTGGGCTTCGGGATGCGAGTGGCAAAGGACTACCGTGTATCGCACAGTGACCAACAAAATGGAAAATAAAAAATCAGGAAAACGGAAGTGGTTGACACGTGGGCAAATGTTGCCATACTTTGAAAACGATGAAGCCATCGTGGATGCCATCATCCACCGTAAGATGGCGGATGATGAGCTTCGGGCCGAAGAAGTGAGAAGCCATCCAGAGATTCCATCTGTTTATCAGTACTTGACTTTGGTTGAGGATGAAGAGGAGGCCACTGAGTCCAGCTCGATCATGGATATGTTCAAGGCTACCGAATCGAAAAACACTGGCCGGGGCCGGGGCCATGAATCCGATTCATCTGACTCTGAGGATTCGGACGAGTCCGATGGCAGCGAGAGCGGTTCTGATTCAGAGAGCACGGATTCGAATTCCTCTGAGGGGAAGAAGCGCAGCAAGAAAGACAAGAAGAAGAAAGACAAGAAGAAAGACAAGAAGAAGAAAGACAAAAGTAAGAAAAAAGGAAAAGGTGGAAAGTCCAACAAATCAAAGGCAGGTCCTATTACAGTAAATTTGATACCGCTTTGTAAACGCTATGTTGGTTGAGTTTGAGGTCATCACTGCACTTTTTTGCATATGTAGGGATCCAAGTTGAAGAACAAAAAGAATAAGCCTAAGGGTGAGGCAGAGGAAGCAGCAGAACAGGCAAAGGAAGCTCGCAAAGACCTCATCAAGTCGTGCAAGAAGGCTAGTCGATTTGAACAATAATATATATATACTCAATAAATTATGCGCAGTAGAATACATATATATATATATGTGTGTAGTATTGGGAAACGGTATGCCGGCAGTGTTTCTGTGTGATGCCATTGCTTTCACCCGGATTTGCCCATGTGAGATCGAATTGTCTTAGCCAAAGAACCCAGCAGTTCCCCAGGCAGTTGGAGATATGAACCGGAAGATACACAGTGCGAATGAAAAGAAAGCATCGACCAACACGTGGTCAATCCCTGAGCGTCGGCTTTTAACAGGGGTATAATTCATGAGCAACTTCCCAGCGCCATCGCCCAGGTCATCTGGCATCAAAACCGCCGTCGTGAGCGAAATCGATGCGATGGTGTCGCGCCTGTCGAAGATCCGGTTGAAGATGCAAGCAGCCTTGGATGCGGGAGCGGAGGAGCTCTGGGTTTCAGTGTTGTGAAAGGATCCGAGTTATCAAATGTGGGTGGTATACAACATATATAAGACTATAAGTACTGGCTACCAAACTGATAGGATTGTTTTCCAATATACACAAGCGCAGGACAGCCGCTTGACAAATGTGCTGACCGAAGCTGAGAAGGGCCTGGAAAATTTTGATGAGCAGATGGAACCCATCACTGGCAAGAAAAGAAAAGCCGGTAAGGGCGACAAGTAGCTGCATTTCTTTTAAGCTCCAGAAAGACATCTTTAGCAAAACGCATGCAATAGCCGTTAAGTCTTTCCACCAAATAGTGCAAGGATAAGGTCGACATTCTAAAACTGTTTCCCTATAGTCTTGCAATCTGGAGGGCTTCCGTTGCTTTTCAACGGAGTTGGGGTGTGCTGGCGAGCCAATCATTGGCTTTAGGACTGAATCAGTAGCTGATGCGCGGCCTTCCAGCACTGAAGGGGTACACGTAGACTTCATGAGCAAACAACGACCGACAGCTGCAAAAAGACTTAATGCTTGCAATGCCTGACTGGACTGTTACCGTAGCATCTCATGCATACATGTCCTCCTGGTATGGTCAGCTATTCCCACACAGGTGATGAATCGGCACGAGATCACCAAGTCGGGAGTATACTAGACAACCTCGCTAGTGGTGTCCCTCGGCCGCAAAGACAATTTCAAATTCTAGATCTAGATCCAGATGACATGAAACTTTGCAGAACTAATCTATAAATATTGTTGAGGTGGATGGATTCCAAAAAGACCCAAGGCTTCTGTATCACAACAAATGAAAGAAGTGCACGCCTGCCTAAAAGACCCCTGGGTTGCACTTATAACTCTGCTGGTTTCTTTGTCATTGGCAAGTCGCTTAATCACTGCAAATCTCTGTTGAGGACACCCCAGTTGGACTACCTGAAACAATCAGCAAGTTAGGCAGCTATAGCGGACACAACCCAGCCAGAGATTTCCGTTCTGTGTTTAAGCCTCCAGTGGACAGGTGTGAATTTGCTCGAAAATATGTTTTAAACAAAAACTCACGAAGTCAGAAACGAACCATGCCGTGTCATCTCATGAACTCCGACCAATTGAACTGTACACTTGAACCCCTGGAGGACACGGTTTTGGTGAACACCTTCGTCAAAGGCAAACTCCGTGAGAGTGATCCAATTCCTACTGAAGTTCCTATGATACTCCCTGAGGACTTGCTTCGGTACCTCTTTCAAACCCTGGGTGTTGAGATGCCTTCTGGATCGGTTGCAGCATACTGGAAACATGCTCATTCTGTTGGTTGCCCGTGGGGACGAGCTTCAACTGGGGTGCACATTCCGTGTGCCCTATATGGGGACAGTGCAAAGTTCAGTGCGGCAGGTGAGAAGATCACATGCATATTCCTCTCCCTGCCGTTGTGGAACCCAAGATCGGCGAGACTGTCCAAATGGCTCTTGTGTTCACTGGAGACCAATCAAATGCTTGGTGGGCTTACGCTGTTTCCTATCTATCGGAAAATAGTGGAATCGATGCTTAAGCTGTACAAAGAGGGAATCCAAGTCAACGGACAGGTTCTCCAGTTCGTGGTGACAGAGCTCAAAGGGGACTGGGAATGGCATGCATATTCGATACAAATGACTCGGACCTGGAAGAATTCTCAGTTTTGTTGGCGGTGCAATGCTTCCAAGAAATTGGATGATGATGGGTCGAGCTACTTAGACTTCCAAGACAACCCTGGCTGGGTAGTGTCCGAGTTCTCCCAAATTGAGTTCCTGGCAAAAATCATCCAGACCAATAAACCTGGCGGAGCATGTGCTTTCGATGCATATTAATCATGAAACAAACAAACGTACAGGTGCCTGCGCCTAGAAGCTACACCAATCTCATGAGCTTTGCAACCTTGCGCACCTGGTGAACATTTACCATGCTCTCCACTGAGGTCCTTTGATTCTCCTCCCTCACTTCCACTACACCATGATCAGGCACTGCTCAATGCACAATGTGAACTTGGGAATAGCCCAAGTGGCCACTGGGTCGTCTCTGTCTCTGAGTTGAAGAGTGGGTTGAGGAACATTGATTCGATCGTAGTAGTCCAATCTCCAGCCTACTTACTCTGAAGCAAAAGAACCTGCTTGTTGTTTCAGATGTTGTGGCATAAAGAACTAGTTCTGGGTGGCTCAGAAAATTCAACCCGAGGCTTTTGCTCACGCAGCTGGGTTTCTTTGGAGATTGTGCAGCCACATCACTTCCAGATCTGTTGCTGGTGGCCTACAAGGACTTTAGATCTTGGTGCAAGCTCAATCGCGTCTTCTGTTCACAACCTTTATTTACGGTCTCCCAAGTGACCTGGTATGATCAAGTATCTGGTGTGAAATTGCTCCAAATTTAAAGATGTATATGTGGTCCCACCTATATTGCGTGATGAAAATGATGATTAGGTATGGAAGTCCACTTCTTTGGGGGCACATCTCACATCGAAAGCCTACAACTCCAGAGTTCTTGTGGCTTGGCTAGCTTCCTGCCTCGACTTAGCTGTTCGGCGAGACGTTGAAGATGGCCGCCTGTTTGCCCGGTGGCTGCATGAGACTGGTCAAGACTGGCCAGATCATGATCTCTTGGTACCAACAGCTGTTGCAATGATTCCCTCTGGAATTGCTGGCAAATCTTTTCAATCTTTGCAATCGGGTCGTGTGTTTGGTTGTGACATGTAGGAGTCCATGCCTTGTTCGACAATATTGTAGAGAAATAAGGAATGCTATGGCAAAGAACTTCTGGTTGATCGAGGATTCTCCCATGATTTTGCCACTTGCCCCCATGATGGTGTGGGTGCAACGCATGCCGACCAAGATTTGCATGCATGCAGTCACTATGTTTGTATGTTGCAAGACTCTGCATTGTTTATTCGTGGGCCCAATAACTCAGGACTCAGGAGCGTGCAAACGAGATATACGAAAGTGGCATGCAATACCTCAGGGCTCACAAGGTGCTCACTATGATATCCCAAAGGTTCCCAAGCTGATCTGAATCACCGCCCGCTAGTTCAACTTTAAATCTGGAGTTTGTTGTTTGTTTTTGTCGCTATAGCTGGCTATACGCGCTATCTATTAAGCCGTATTGAGCATCTTCGGTGCACAAGTGCATGTGCAAGGCATGGAATTCTTTTCTGGAATTGCCTTCCAAAGCTCCATGAATCTGGTCGCAATTAATTATATAATTAGAGTGCGACTGTCGACACTAAGCGCTACATATTTAATTTCATGATGGCAAAGTCCCACTCGTGATTGAATCTTCCGCTTATATTTTGAGGCATTCCATCACCAGCTTCGTGACTGCCAAGCTTACCGTCACTTGCCGTTTTTAGTTTCATATGTCATATGTGCATGCATCTAGGCATGTGCGCGTGTGAGCTCAAACATGCTAGGCTTCAACTGGCGGCATGTGCACTGCTTCTTAGAGGAGGACCAAATGAAATGGGCCAAGTGCAACTCGGTTGGCTACTCATGGCAATGTATTCCACTAAAGCAGTTTCCAAATTATCATGCTAGCCGTGAGTACGATCTTGGCAGCGCCACAAAGGTGTATGCCAAAGAGCTAGCCGTACAAACCTTGGCAGATCTGTGCTTAGAGCGTCGCACTTCAGGCGGCTTCGGGTTAACACGCACATGCTTAGTTTCAATGTGCACGCAGGTGCGCATGGATATCACACATGTGTGTGAAATTCCTGTGCAGGTTGCTGGCAATGAAGCAGCATCTGCGAAAGCTCAACGCTCACGCGAAACGCACGTGGGAAAAGACCGCGCCTCAAAGAGCGTGAACTCGATGGCGGCTGCAGCTGCTTGTGTGATTGCTGCAGCGTCTCGTTGGGGGCTGGCAGGGGATCTAGTGGATATCAGTAAACCATGGCCATTAAGTAAATCACGTCCCTTCTATCAACGACTACGTTTAACTTGTCCTTTAGACTTGCTGGGATCTGACAGCACAAAGTACTGCGCCTGCCACGAAATCTACACTTCGAGGTTCACCAAGCAGGTGCTGTGCCTGCCAGGAAATCTGCACTTCGAGGTTCACCATGCGCTGCGCCTGCCACGAAATCTGAACTTCGAGGTTCACAAAGTGCTGTGCCTGCCACGAAATCTGCACTTCGAGGTTCACAAAGTGCTGCGCCTGCCGCGAAATCTGCACTTCGAGGTTCACACCATGTACCAAAATGCGCACGGCACCACAACGAGAGCGCAGTCGCGACAAGCACGCGCTCCAGCCACCCAGATTCTGCGAGCCTGCGCAGTCGAAGTGCACATGGACGATGTCGAGAGGCATGAATGTACTGTAAATAGCAATGAATATTAGCCGTTCACGCCTTTCCCTACCGTAAGAACACCTCAGCGTGCCCACACTGTTTGGTGAAAAAAGAAGACTTAGGGAAATTTCACGTGGGACCATGCCTAGCAGCCAGTATATACCTGAATTCAAGCTGAGCCTCGATTCCACGATCATTGGCTCAAACAAGCTTTTCCCAGTACTTTGTACAAACAACACCCCACGGACTCGTTCGGTCGGCACCAGGCAGGTCATCGACACCTCACCCACCGCAAGGCGGTCACGACACGGAGCATGGTCGCTTTTCTTTCTTCGGTGCCTTTTCGGGGTCACCACACACCCACACACACACCCCAAACGGTGTTCATGTACATAATGGCAACTACCAAAAGGGATCAAAAGGGTGTGATACCCGTCCCATGTCAGTAGCATCTCAGAGTACATACTGTAGTTCCTCCTGCCCTCGTGTGTGTGTGTGTGTTTGTTGGAGGGAGGCTGACAATTTTTGGTCGGTTCTTGTTTGTTTGAGGAATGCACATCAGGGATTCATCTCTCGAAGACCTGTTTCATGCACTTGTCCTATGGAAAAGGGTCTCCTGAAAAATGTAACATAGATGGTCATGATGATATTCCGCTTGAACCACCGGGTTTGAGGGCACAGATGATTGGCAAATCCATCCGACATGTACTACTGTAATCACGTTCAGTTGAGGTGGTGCCAAACCAAAACAAGATGGACATGGAAACGTATACTTTGCGTATATACATGATTATACATGTATATAATTGTATATACATATTATATGACAATGGTGCAATGACCAGAATCCCCGTTGTGGGTTTCCAGTGAGTTTTTGTCCCGCACCCACATCTTCAAGCAAGTTATGAAGAGGCTTCACCGCCCCAGATCTTTGAACAGT